TCTATAACTGTGAAAGTATCTCAATGTTGCATTCGTTTATTGCAGTTGAAATCTTAGTTTTGATATTTTTGTTGTTGCATTTTGTTTCAGTTTTTGCCTCATGGGTAACCATTTGCAATAAATGCACAATAGGGTATCATAAAAGTCTGCATTTACATATTGCGTCAGTTTGCTAAAGTTGCTGCTCAGATACAGTTTATCTATGCATTCAAGGGGATGGTTGCTTTAATATTTTGTAATTTTTTGAGAGTGATTGCAGATGACTCAAGCAACCATAGGCGACTCAAAAGATTACATGTCCTAGACCTACCTCACAGAAATAGTTAAATATGTAAAGTAGGTAAATATATGGATTGATCTCAGTGGAGCCCAAGCCATCCGGTTACGTAATATTATTGTTAACAAATTTGTTTATTGTCTAGTATAAAGACAGATTGCACATAAAAACAGCAATTAAAAAAAATATATATTTTATAATTTAAGTTCCTTGATTACAATAAAACTATCCTCAGATCTATGCTAATTGGACAGTCAGCTATTCGATTAGCTTTCACTGAGTCAATTATTCATGACATCAATCACTTGATTGCTCATCAAATAGTTAGTCTTTAGCTCTTCCTCAATCAACCTCTTACTCAATCAGTTCGTCATCCACTTGGTAAACATTTTCAATCAGTCAGTCAATCAATCAGTTAGTCGCTCATATAAGTTGTCAGTCAATCAGTTCATTAGTCACTCAATCAATCAGTTATTGCATACAGCCGATTCCAGTTTTTCAGTTAGTTAGTCAATCATTCAGGCATACGCTCAATCAGTCTGTCAGCGAATCATACAACTAACCGCAATTGCTTAATTAGACATTCTAACTGTTTGTCAGCCTTACAATCAGTTGGTAGATCAGTTACTCAATCAATCACCTTGTCGGTCAATCAGTCAGTCTACAGATTGAGTCAGTTCATTAGATATACCATCAGTTAGTCAGGCTTTCACCAAGTAAGTCAACTTAAGTAATCAATCAGTCGGTGAATTAATCAATTCAATCAGTCAATCAGTGAACAGTCAAAAGCAAATATTCATTTACTCAATCAATCATTCTTTCAGCAATTCAATCAATCAATCAGTGCATCAGTAACTCACACAGCAGGTCACTTCATCAGTCAATCATTGAACTTTTTGCTGAATATTTGATTCAATCACTTCAAGAGATTGATGCTTGTGTAGGTAGAGCAAAAGGTGTTTCACTTCTGCACTATTGGGTTAGGGTATTTAATATTCGGCACTTGCAACTAACTAACTTCTTCTGCTTTCTTGTTTTAATGGAATTTTATTATTGCAAGAACTTGAATTTTATGGGCATTTGTTGGCTGCCAGCCTTTCGAGTTGCCTTTATGCTGTACAAATATGCCAAGGGCTCAAAAACAAGAGGCGAACACACATACAAGTTGGTTCTGTGTGTGTGTGTGTGAGTGTGTATCAAATAGCAATTACCCAACGTAGCAACAGAAACACTTGAAGCCAGCAGGCAGCTGGAGCAGGCGGAGACTGAGCGAGTTAAAGACAAGGGAGTGAAAGAGAGAGGTATAGCTGGTTAGGCAGCTGCGCGACATATTGTAAAACATTCGTTTTACTTTTCGATGTACGTTTTCCTTGTTCAATATTATCATATATATACGGATGGATATACATTTATTTATATTTGCTTTGTGCTATTTGCCTTGAGGCTGAGCGATTTCTTGACATCAAAAAATATTCTCTCGTGGAAAAATATGATCAATTTTGCACAATATTTGCTGAAAAATTGCCGCAGGCTGCGCAAAACAAAAAAATAAATAGAAATGCGAACTGAGAGTCTGCAAGCTGGATGTGCACGACTAGCAAATACCCGGCTGATGTCTAAGCTAGCTTCGCTTACAATTAAGCCAATGCTGCTTGTCCTTTTCCTTAAGTGGATGTAATTTTAGTGAATAATCATTAACTAAATCTAGTTTTCAAGACTTAGTAGATTTGCATGAAACGTAGAATATTGTCGATTATTTATAACAAATCTAATCATGTAAAAGCTCTCACTGGTTGAGAGCTAGAGTGCTTCATACTCAAGGCCAGGTCGACAGACAAAGAGATTGAGCTAGATGCACTTTCGCTGCTGATTCTCATGCTAAATGTATCTGCTTTATAAGTTCTTAAGCACAACCAATATAGCCAGCTGAGTCACCTTCATAATGGTTTCGGGGTATCAAGAAAATAAATAAAAAACAAAAGTCAAACGTAAATAAAATGGTAAGAAACAAAAAAATCAAGACAAGAGAAATAATCTGCTTGGATTTGAAGTCCTCTTGTCGTCAGTTTATTGAAATTGCGTATTGAATTGCAGTCGAGCTCAACTTGACTCCCCATTGACATAAATATTCAATGTTTGTGAAATTGAACATGAAAATGTTTTTGCTGTCTTATGCAAGAGTTTCAAGCTCTGCCCTAACGTAACTGGAGGATTAAGAAAATGTTCTACTTCTCAAGAGTTTGTGAAGTTTTGCGAGTGAAAGGCACGTTTCTAGCACTCAGAATAAGCTTGACAATGGAGTTGCCATTTAGTTTTGGTTGTGCATGGGCTATATATATCGAGAAGTTTACCTAGCAGTTTAATATTTGACAACTAGTTAAACTAAATATGTATAAATAAAAACACTTTCTGTATTTCTTGCATTAAATAATTTATCTTGCACTTCATTTAACAGCTGGTTATATATTTAACAGGCAGCTAACAGGCAGTTTAGCTGTCAGTTATATATTTGACATGAGCATAGATTAACTGGAATCTAGTGGCTAAAATAAGAGCTTGTTAAATGTGATTTTGGCTCAGCTTAATTGGAATTCAGAGTTTCACAAGCATTTAAGCAGCTCAAATATTAATTAAAGATCACGACAATTATCCAAGACAATGCTGGACATCTATTATTAATTAGCCGCTTAAGCAATGCTAGAGCAAAAGATTAATTAGAAGGCCAAGTGCTTGATTATAAATGGCAATTCAAACGAATCGAATCATAATTGACCAAGAAAGGACAATGCATGCACAGGCCTCTATACGTAGGTGTATATATCCTGGTTTTGTTGCATTCATATCTGTATGAGCACACATATTAAATTCCACTGGCTGCTTGTCAACATGCTGTAATTGCACATTAGCGCGCTCTCGCTCACTCTCACTCGCTCTGAGGCCGTCTCTTTCGCTCCCTCTGCCATGGCGTGTCGCTGATTGCATTATCCTTTCGATGTCCTGGTCAGCCGTTGCGGTCACGTTGCTCATTTTCGCATAATGTTTTATGCACAACTAAATACAAATGCGCTTTAATGAGCGTCGAAACAGGCGACCTGCCAGCCAGAGCCACAGCCAGAGGCAGAGTCAGAGCCAGCCAGCCATGCGGTTAATTTATTATGCAAAACGGGGCTTCACACACATCCAGGCACACACACAAAGGGTGCACGACACTATGGCAACTTATAACAAGTAAGATTGCTTTTGTCGGGAGTGCGCGACTAGCAGATACCCGAACCCACCAACAAAATGGCAATCTGTGCATTCACCACTGAGATCTTAGACTTTAGCATTTGATCCCGAGTCCTCTTAGAGATGAGCTTTGCACGCAGCCAATATACCCGCTTGTGCACCTTGGCCGAGTATGATAATACGCCATTGTCCTTACACACAACAATTACTTGCACACGGGGCTTACACTTTAGCACATCAGCAACGGCTGCTGCTACTGCTGCTCGCTCTTCTTCTTTCTGCACTGCAGCTCGTTAAATGCAGCAGCAAAGAATTTTATGTTGCAATATCAACGTGGCATAGTTTTTGGTGCATGGCTCGACATAGTTTTTGGGGGCTTACGCTGCATAGCTCTCGGCACATTTATCATGGCCAAAACATGTTGGCCACTTGATTAACACCTTGACAAAAGCCAGCGAACAGTTCAAATAAATGTAAAATTGCCCGAAACTAAGGGGCTCAGGCGCTGCCATATTGTATACCCTGGAAAAGGCAAGTAAATTCGAAGGGGGTATCTTCTGAGTGAGCTAAATGTGTTATATGATGTGGCTTAGCATAGGTTTAGGCTAAGACATTACGAATTTGCGACTTAACATGGTTATTTAGAATTTCCAGACTTCTTAAACAGTCCTCTATGGCTTACTATAAGTATGTTTGCTTAAAGTTTTAGTTAGTCTAAGAGCTTTCAAAAGCTCATCTATGCTTTTACTCATAATATCCAATTTCTTCTAATAGGATTAAGCTGAACTTTACTAATGTTGGTCATAAGATGTACTTTGGCTCTTAAGCTTCTGCATTTACTTTAAAATAAATTGAAGCCTGCTTAGAAGTTTCACTTTCAAGAGCTTTTTGGAAAACACTTACGTTGGCTTAAAGCTCTAAAAAGTTACAACAATTAAAATGTTAAGCTTGAACTTTGATTTAGTCTGTCTAGCTGTCTGTTACAGTAAAGCTTGCTTGGAGTGTTCAGTTATACTTCTAGCATTGCACTAAATCAGAGATTTCTATTTCTAAATATCAAATTGCATAACAGAAAACTTAAGTCTTATAGATCCTTAGTGTTTGATACAGTAAAGCTTGCTTAAAAGTGTCTTAGCTCAGTAATAAGTTTTGAAACTTGAAAGTTCAGCCTTGCCTTAAGGCTTTAGAATAAAGATTACTGTCTTCCCTAGAAAAAGCTTAAACTGCCCATTAAGCTCCTGGCTTTTTGGTATATTTCTGGCTTCCCTTAGAAAACTCTCTAAAATAATATCGATTTTCAAGCCTGATTTTAAGGCTTGAAATAATTGAAATTCTTAAAGCAAATGATTTATATGCAAGGCAAGACTTTTCAGTCTAATTTCAAGAACAAATTTTGGGGCCATTGCCCAAAACTAAAATAAATGTTATATTCTATAATTATAATTAAATGAATTAATTATTAAATTAAATTGAAATTTCAGTGCCTTTTAATCAGCTAAAAGTGGTGTGGATGAGGTTGATTGGGAGTCGACTCGACAACAACTGTTTTCGTCACAATATCGTAGGTGGTGCGATTGTTCTTGAGTAGAATCATGACGATGCAGACGGGAAAGAAGAAGGTCACGACCATGTTCTTGGTTAAGGCGCGCAGCAGGGATCTCGTGAAGCTCGGCGTCTCGCAGGGGTAGAGCATGGCCCACTGTGGACGGGTCTGGCCTTGGAATATGAAATGAGCTGGCGCATTGTGCTGCAGCGGTACCACAGCCTCCACGTAGACCACTCGTATCTTCATTAGCCACTTGCCAGGCGTGGCGCCGTTGTTGAAAATCGTCCACCAACACTCGTAGAGGCAGACATTTAGTTTGGTCAGCAGAATGACGATCAGCAGGTTGTAGGGCAGCGAGATGATGTCCATGGACAGGTCGAAGAGAGCCATGAAAGGGTTGTCCTCCTTGAAGGCCTTGCTCAGCAAGCTGTTCTCCAGGTCAATGCTGAAGATGCGCACGAAGCCCAAGGCCAAAGCGACTTTTACCACTGACAGTATCAATGCGTCCAGAAATTCAGCCAAAGCTCGCTTCCAGAACGGCGCGATCAGCATTTGGCTGCCCCCGAAATGGTGAATCACCTCCCTTTGATGCACGTCGTCCAGCACGCGTAGAGGATCGAAGCGTCGACGTCGTCGCCGAGTCATGGGTTGAACCAAATTTCTATTCTGCGCTTGAGTATAGTAGTAGTTACAGTTATAGTTATAGTTGTAGTTGAGGTACAAATAGTTGGACATCAGCTGAGCGGCCTTGGCCTCCTCTGCCCACTGAGATAGGCGGGCAAAATATGCTTCCTTTGTCTTCAGCTCCTTCGATTTCTGCTGCTCGTTAGGCGAATCAAACTGTTCTGCGTCCATGATTGCCTCTCTTAGTATATATTATATCTTGATATATGTAATTGATTTCTATATATCTATGTCTCAATCAATATTGGTACCAATTTTATTAAATTTTCACTTTACTTAATTTGTGCTTAGAATTTTCAGAGTTTGACGTCGCAAACAAATATTGCTAACTAGCATATCTCGTATCGCTATGATAGTGTGACGTCATATTGTGAAATGATCAATAGAATTCTATATAATTTTTAATAGTTTAACAAATAATTGAAATTTTCTCTAAAAATATAGTTTATTTTCGCTACTTATATATTTATTAAATAAACATTTCAAGGGAATATCGCTAGTATTTAATTTCTTTTATTTGTATGATACAAATTAACTAGAATTTATATCTTTATTTGCTTCCTTTATTTACAAGTTTTATGTATAATTTTTAAGGGCATATTCCCAATCATTTTAAAACTTGTTCAATATACCCATGAAGGCATGAAGGGCATTATAATAATTATACAAAATATTTCTAGCTTACAATCGACTCCTAGCTTCACTCTCACCACACCTCACTCTCACCTGTTCGCCTACAGGGTATCTGCTAGTGTCATACATTATTCACGCACTTCACTTCTTTCACTATTTTTATTTTTGCTGCTGGTTTTGCTGTGTGCATTTAATATTTGTGTCATTTTGCATGGCTCGTTGGATATAGTCCAAAATACATGTAACATCTAAGTATAGGTGTGTGTGTGTGTGTGTGCTATAAGTCCTGTGCAGTATTCTGCGTCCTGTGTCCTGACTTAGTTGAAGGCAGCGAAGCAAATGCCTTTGGATTTACATGTGTTGCACTGCGGGATTTGCAGTTCGCTGCAAGAGGAGCAGCAGGAAGCGCAGGAGACAGCAGCCAATGCCAATGTGATGCATACTAAATAAAATAACGACAACAACAACGAAAGAAGAGGAACAGGAACAGCACGCGATGCACTGCTTAAGTATAAACGGATTTTAAAAGCCTTTTGCCAAACACTTGTGCGCACGAAGGATAACAAGGATATTGCAGGCTATTGCAACAGCAGCTGCTGCCTGTCAATCCCCAAGCAACAAAAATATAAATATATGTAGATAGAGAATGACGTAGATGGAAAGTAAATTGAGACAGTTAGAGAGAGAGGGAGAGAGAGAGAGAGAGAAAGAGAGAAAATATGTGCAGTCAAAATATAGCTTAAAATCATGAAAAGAATTGGAAAATGTAATCTAAACTGGAAACTCTATATTCATGTACTCTGCTTCCTTCTTTTTATTGCTGTCTAATACATTCACTCTCTCTATCTCTCTCTCTCTATATATATGGCTATATAATATAATAATATTTATAATATATCTAAATATCTTTTAGCTTAGAGGCTTGAGTTCACTACAGCAAAAAGTAAAAGCTTTCAGTTAAAAAAAAAAACAATATTTTAAATATATTAAAAAATTAATGTATATTTTGTTAGTTTATTTTTATTTATTTAATAAAGAATTATTAATTTTTTTGTTATATTTTTCAAGTTTTTCTTCTGTTTAACTTTTTTCTCTTGAACTCTGGACACTCTAAAATATTGCATTATTTTATCTCTTGTATATTCCTTTATTATTTTGTTGTATCTTCTTTTTTTTAAGATCATCAAATAATTTTCCATTTTTCTCCCCTTATTTTTTAATAATTTTTTCTCATTTTGATTACTACTTTTGTTTGACTTTCGTCCCTTTAACAAAGTTTTACAATTTGCACACATCTGTCCCAGCTCTGCCTTTGTTTAGTTGAGACAATTTTCGAATATTCCATTCAGAGCAAATCCATTCAAAATGTGAAAACTCTATTACCCTTATCCCCCTCTCTTTTCTCTTGGTCTATCGATGTCCCTTCCTCCCTTACACTGATTGAACAAATTCTGCTAACATACAATTTGAGTATTGTTTGAACGATTCGCTTTGAGCTACTTGTCCATTGTCCTGCATTGTTCTAGACATTTTCATATGCTCCACTTATTCGCATATCCATGAATTGATGCACATGTTCTGCTATAAATAACAGAAGTTCCTCTCACTCTCTCTGAAGCTCTATCTCCTTTTTTTCCTCTACTTCTAGGCATTTATCTAACATATTTCGTTTCCCTTTGCTTTTGCCTTTGCTGCTTCTAACCTCATTAAACGTATGCACAAAGCTTCGCAGTTGCAATCGAATTTGAAATGAATACTCGAAATATATATTCTTTCTTTGCCATACGGTTTGCCATGAGGATTGTCATGTGGTTTGCCATGTGCACGGCCAATGGCCAAGTGCCTTTAACTGGCGACAGTTCTGCGTTCCGCTTTTGTTATCGTCTATGCAATAACAAAGTTTCAATTGTTTCGAGCACTGTGCAGGGTTTTTGACTTTTTACATTTGCTATGCACTGTCTTTTGAATCTAAAACGGGTATATGGGCTTTGTTCGACTTCAATGAATAATTTAAAATAAATGTTTGCCTTAATAAATAAATTCCATTAGTATTGTCTTTCAGCTATACAAGCTGAAAGTGGGGAATACCCCACCTAAGTACAATAATAATATAAATTATAAAAGCTACAATAATACTATATATTTATAATATTTTTACAATAATATTATAATACTTGTAACTCAATTTAGAGTTTTCAAAATAGGCTTTACTCAAGGAAAAACTTTGTGTTCAACAATTTTTTCTGTCATTTGAAATCTTTAACATATTTGGAGCTTTCCATTTAAGCTTTATCTATGATTGAAAAACTTTACTTCAACCGTTACTTTGCTGCGTAAAGTATCAAGTAGTCATTAAAACACTCTTAAATAATTAGAGCTTTGAAAATGAGCTTTCAGCCTGCGCTTTCCCAATTAAAAACTTGACATAAACTCTTCTACGTATTTAGATCTTTAAAACTAAGTTTTTACTACTTTCAAACCTTATTTTCTACAGCTTTTCAGTTGTGTAGAGCATTAGGCAGTCTGTGCAACTCTTGCACACTGCAAGCACCAAGCAGCTGCTGCCATCTAACCGAAAAAATAGAAGAAATTCGAATGGTTAGCCCGAGTTGTCATTAAAATCATATGGTGCAGTGGTCAAAAGCGGGTCTCACTGCCTGAACGCACCCTGGAAGCAAATGAAAAAAACAACAACATTGTCAAAAGTTCAGATATTGCTGACTTATATTTCATATATATTTTCTCTTTTTTTTTCTCTCTTGTCCAACCACAACGCGACGACGGAGTCAGAATACGTTCGCATGTGTGGGCGAAGCTGACATGTTGCTCACATTTCGGAGAGTCAGAGTAGCTGGAAGCGTAGATACCCTATAAATGGGATATGCTATAAATGGGATATGCTAATGGGATATGCTATGCTGAGAGAACTTATGGAGCAGGAGCTGAAGAAGATTACGGCAAATAATTGACAGGGATTACTACTGGATGAGCCAACATTTATGATAGGTATTCATGAATAAATAAATAATTTTTGCAAAAATAAAACACAATATTCGTAAAACTTTTTAAATAGACCTCGTTTGACACTCATAATACCCACATACTCTAGTCAGGGTATACTCAATTTAGATATATGCATATATATAACATGCTTAAGTCAACATACCCCATATGCTAGGGTATGTTATAAAAATAGATGGGCAACATCGTCTGGCCGCAATGCAAAAGTTTCCAATATCAGGTTGGCTGGCAAATTCATTCACAATTCACGACTATTCCCTGGTCACTGTGTGGGCGGCGCTGTCTCTCTCTCTCTCTCTCTCTCTCTCTCTCTCTCTGTGCGTGGGTGTGTGGTTGGAGTGTGTAGCTTGTATTGCAGCGAGCAGCTCCGATGGCCGCATATGCATAGAATTTCATGACGTCATTAGCGTTAATGACATCAGAACTGAGGCAAAGTTTAAATATTTTGCAGCTTCTTAATGAAAACTTGCATGTTGCAAATGAGCAGCAGCTGAAGCAGCAGCGGGGAAAATGAAAACGCTTTTCCATTGAAAATAATGAGCCATAAAGTGCGCGCACAATTACAGCGGAGCACAGAGCTGAGGCAGGAGGGAAAATCTATGTAAAATGTATCCAGATATTATGTGGCTTTGTCTGCCTTGGCTGAAAGGCTGCAGCACTATGAAAGTCTCCGGCCTTTTGTGCTTTTATCGCAGCTTGTATTTCACTCAAAGTTCAGGCAGAGAGTTTACAAAACACTTTTCAATCTTGAATCATTAATGCCAGACATTCAACTTTGAGTGACCCAAAAACTTGGGACAGTTTTCTTTTCATTCCCATTGTTTGACAAATGGAAGACAACATTTTAAAAATGCTCAACGAGGATTGGCTGTCAGCAGCAGCAGAAGATGTGACAGAAATTCTTCTTAAATATACTAGAGGATTTAAGAACATTTGGGTAAAGCCGACGCACAATTTCCAGCAATATTAAAGATGCTTGACATGGAATCAGCCTGACCAATTAAGAGCAGTAGCTAAAGAATGGACTGCAGAATAATATTAGGCTGATGTCTTACGTTGCTTTTAGGTTTATTTTGAAGCTATATCCATGCCATTAGTAAGGAAAAGAAATCTCATTCCAATAGCAGTCTTAACTTGGCTAACAGTGCTGAAAGCGCAAGTTCTGCGTGACTCGTGTCTGCTAGAAGCTGCTAGCTCGATTGATGGCTAAATTGATAAAATGGCAAAACTTTCGAAATAAACTTTTGAATGTGGATCGATAGTATTGCTTCTCGAGAGCCAAAAGGTATAGCTGAGTCACAAATCTGGCAAGGATTAGCCCAGCTAGAGTCAAGTACAAAGATCAAGCTTTGGATATAGATGTAGACGTAGCTATAGGCATAGATATAAAGATATAAATTGATATATGTTATAAGTACTCTGCCCAAATATATATATCGTCCATTTGGTTCACTTGCCACGAAAATATCTTGAGCTTTAGCTGCTTTTATGTCTCTCGCCACATTAGGTTCGTAATG